GGTCAACGAAATCCTGTCGAGAACGAGGTTAGGCTTAACCAGTCGTAATCGTTACACTTGTGGTTGGTAGTACACCCGACTCGACTCACTATCGGACGGTCAATATTGCGTACATTACGCACCAATAACTTGCCATCCTACGGTCGATACTCGCGCCTACCGAAGCCTCAATCAACGGCTACGAATTGTCTACGATATTAGGGCGTACTTCATGCAAGTAACGCCCGAATCTCAACACGTATTCAAACGGCTAACGCTCGAGTCTCAACTTTTTTACGCACTGGATATCCCATGCAATTCCTATCTTGATCTTCCACTTCGGAACCTCCCCGGTGCTGGCATCTTGTTCAGAATGTCCGCCTTCATGTCCTCTGTCAGGCGGTACGCAAATCCGACATGTCGCACCACCCCCTCCCGCGCACGATGATGGATCACCTCGATGTGCTACGATCGCTGCACAGCGATCCGATGCTTTTGAGCCGTATTGCTTGCTCTCTGCTTGTCGCGACAAATTTGGACCGTTGCCAGATTTGGCTCCAAGTCTCCCACCAACTTGCGAAACGCAACGCCTTCTTGCTCCGCATTCGGATACTCGTTATTGAAACCCTTGGTGAGGGGGTTAAGCTGTAGTTGGCTATTCGTCATTGGGTCTTATTGTGTTGTCAGCATACATGCTCATCATTTATTGACAGCAGCCGTGCATCTTACGAGGAACACACGAAGCGCCTGAAAAACTTCTTTTGAGATGCTGTATTTAAAGTATCGGTATTCACCACTTTGAGTCCTACGGGGCTCTCCGTCCACTGGTCTCACTAGCCTACTAGGCTGACAGGCCATAAGTCACACACCACTAGGCTGACTAGCCTGGCGCACAATCACACTCAACTCTAGCCTTCAATGTCGTCATCTACGCCTTACGCTGATGGTGTTGCCATGCACGTCAAAAGAAACCCGGTTTCGTGTGTACTGAGCGGTAGCCATTGCTTTCGCCCACAACTCTGGCTTCAACTCAACATCCTCCTGCAAAGCCCGGGCTCCTTTCGTGAGCATCCAATTCAACCGCTATGCCAAACCGTTTTGTTTGAAAGAGTGCCCCGCCGTGGTCCGTGGAACCGTCCTCTTTTCTCGAGAAGGGGCGTCAATCCTCGTTGACGCACTTTCCGCCCTAGGTAGTCTGTTTGCATTGCTTTGACCTTCTTTCAAGATTGCAACTCCAAACGGGCAACACGCTCTCCGCGATCGCTGTGACGTCCGTTTCATTGGTTACCAACGAAAGTTGGCTATAGTCGTCGAGGAAAGTGGCCAAGTACCTACTTCCTCCTTTTAACGTCACCGGGAGGGCTCGCAAACGTCCATATGCACAAGCCCGAAGGGCTCCGTACTCTTTCTGGAGTCCGACTCCTTTAAAAACCGCTCCGGGGTTTGCTTCGCCATGATGCAAGACTCGCATACCGAGGTCTTCTCCGCTCGAAGCGCCTCGGCTTTGACCACCACACCCCGGGTCAATTGCGAGCCTTCGACCTTACTGGTCAAACTCGCATAGACGGCATGCCCAAACTCCTGGTGGCACAACACCGAGCTCTCGGCTTCCCTCACGAGCAAGCAAGTGTTCTCCTAGATTGTCTTTCCTTGGCAGATCACCGACATGCCCTCTGCGCTTTCACCCGCTCAGAGCATGACCTCTCCGTCTATGGACACTGCGCATATCTCCACATCGCACACAACCTCGGCCCCAACCGCGGTCGCTTTCTTCACCAAGAAGAGATTGTCCACCACATCCAGCACATACGCCACCTCGGGGAAAACGTTAACCTGCTCTGCCGAGGATGTCTCACACCACAACTCCATGGTGTTAATCCGGCTATCTCGAGGAACCCCTTGTTCTCAAACTTGATTGCCCGAGTTTCGGATTTAAGCATCTCCAACGTTGATAACGAGCTCTTATTCCCGTCGTGTTCTGGCTTAGCTATATACATGGCCCCCTAGAGGCTGTTGCTACGTTTGCAAAGTTATCATACTTGTGCAAGGTTATTAAAGCTCTGCTTCCTCCGTCCTCTTTGCATCACCGGGCGGAAGGATTCGTAACGCCTTTCTACAACTTCTTCCGCGTGTCAAAAGAATTCGCATTATCGATTACCACACTGTATAGTCATCAATATGTAGAAACTCTGCGTTGACCCTTGACTCTTGTTGGGTTATGGGGTTCTGACGCCGGATTCTGATGGAATAAGGCGGACTTACGGGACTACTTCCACTATAGATTCTATGTTGTTAGGTTTGGGCGATACTGGCCTTGAGTGTACGCCCTTGTATCCTATGATAGAATCTTCTATATAATCTTGGGTTTAATGCCTGTTGAAATACGGGCATTTCAAGGACCGAATCTCTATGTGATTCTAGGATTTTCGGATCACGACGTCGACGGTAATTCGACGGTAACTAGAAGTTACGATTATACGGTCAAGTGCGGGGGTTACAGCGTTACACCCGAATGGCTTGGCGTTAACCGTCGATATTGTGTAGGTTCGATGATAGCCGTCGATGTACGATATAGAGTGAAATTCTTGGACTTCGTAGGTGACGGTCCACTGAGGCTAGACCTAGAATTAGGCCGTGACTCGGAACACTCTATATACATTGTGTGAACTTGATTGATGAATATCACTTCCGACAACGCTTTATTTCAACAATGCATAAGGTCGCCGTACAATTGTGAGTAATCACTCTAGGATGCGTGATAAGTGAGCCGTAGTGTTGAGTCCATTGTGCATGGGGTCGATTTTGCGATGTGGATTTGATGTCACGATTTGATGCGTTTTTCCGCAGACAACGTCGAACAAGGACCGTCGATTTGTCAATTGAACATCTCATGGGGTACAAGCTAAAGATGAGCTAGGCTACTTGAACTCACGATCAGAAAACCCCACCATTTCATACTGAGAAACGCATGGTGAGAGTTGTGACGGCGCTTGTGTGCAGGGATCACCTTGAACCCCTCGTAGGTTCCAAGCATGAGCGTATGATTCTAACAACTCTTTCAGCCATCTTTTTTGCTAGTCAACACACGCTTTGTGAAATGGGCATTCTCTATGGCGAAAAAGGTTTGTGGGTTTTTTCACACGCTTCGCGAGAGGGGGTGCACTCCACTCCCCTCCACTCCACTCACTCTTTAAGCCCCCATTGGAATACATGTCACCGACCTTGAATTGTGCGTTGCTAGTCTTTCGGATTTCCTCACTCGAGAGCGTCGTACGCCCATAACCGTTGAAAGCAAGCGCCATGCATTTTGATTCACATTTACTATAAATGAGTATTATCACATGGCAATGTCCAAGGCAAATTTCAAATCCGATATGTATTATCAAGGCTTACAAAGTAGTCCACCTCTATCATGAAATCCTATTCAAGTGACCGGGTTATTATACGACTCACTCGGGTCACTAACCACTCGCTATGTTGGCTTAATGCACCCAGATTTGTGGTTGGTAGTAGTATACCAAGGTGGTCGGCAGTATTGTACTACTATGTTGGGGCTACTACATATTAGTGGTCGGGGCTTTTTGATTACTCGAAACGACTCACTAACGGACGGTCGAAATTGCGTGTATAACTCGCCCAATAACTTGCTATCTTTTGGTCGTATTCCGCATTGGCCAAGGCTCGATCAACGGCTACGAGTCGAATAGAATATCAGAGCGTAATCAGTCAGGTGACCCCCGACTTTCAAGAAACATTTGATGCAATCGGCTGCTTCCAATCAAGGATCCGGCGTTGGCCCATGTCGTTTAGCTCATCAATTCCGCGGCGGGAGTCTAAGCAAGCAAGAAAACCTCGTTTGCTTTTCCATGATGCACTTATACGGACTTGGTTCCACGTCGACGCCCCCGACGAATCGCCTTGCTCCGTTGTCGCCAAGTTCTCGTGCCCAAAGTATTGCGCTGGTCCGTGTTGCTCGGCCCGTTTTGGCTTACTCGCAAGAAACGTACGCGTCCTCCAAGGGCACGGTGCCTTCACGAACCATTTTCATAGTGGAAGTCTGATGAGCGATTGAATCGTGTAGCGTCCTTTCGACTAAAAAGGAATCCTTCAACTTGTCGAGCGACGAAAGGTCTCCCGAAATCAACTTCAAGCTTACATTTGCAGCTTTTCTTGAACACAACGATCCGACTTCGGCTGCCTACTCATCAAAATCGGCTTTGTCGCCATCTTTGACGTACATCATGTTTGCACAAGACGAGGCTTTCCCTTGTCGTACACCGCATCTCACTGTGAGCCGCTCCTCTTCACACTCGATTCTCTTTTCTTCAAATGTGGATCGGCGGCCCCCCTTAACACCTCAAGGGTGTTCGATAGGCTTTCTGTCCAAGAGATGTTGGGCGCCACCCGAAATTGACGGGGCCAATCGTTGGCACATAGAACCCATTGATCACGCTAGAGTTCCTCCCCTCTTGCTCCGATTTGAGCTCCCGCCTGTCCGGCTTGCTGCATTTTCGGACAATGTGATCGGGTTTTCGCAATCGTAGCAGCCGCCCAGGGCCCCTTCGCCCCGAATCTCATCCTTGGCCGTGGCACTTTTCTTTGTTTCCTTTTCATTGAGCTTCGTATGTACTACAATGGGAAGTACCCCACCACCGCGCTCTTTTGCAGGCCTATCAAACCCCTGCTCGTGCTTTAAGGCGAAATCACCTTACCAAGCTCATTGCGTTATTGAAAGTCAAGCGAGAAGAGATTAATGGCGGTCACCATGAATTGAGTGTGTGACGCGGGACGCTCTGTCTAAACCTTGAGCGATACTAATTTCCTTGAACAAATGACGAAAGGGTCCTGGTGTTGACTTCGATGAACTCTACACCCCAGTGATCAAGCACAAAACGTTGCAAACGCATCTAACGATGGGCGCATAACACGATTTGGAGGTTGGGTAGGTTTAACGCCAAAATGGGTTTCATTGACGGAATGCTAAAGGAAAGATGTGACATTTGGAAGTCGCAGGGATACAAGTAACAGGACGGGCTCAAGATGATCTGCCGCCTCAAGTGCACAGAAGTTTTGTAATGGTGCATTAGGCTCATTTGTCCTAAAATACGGAGCTCGTGAGCTTTGAGTTCATGGAAAACGCGGCACTATTATCAAACCCTTAGCTGAAGAGCAAGTCTATCTTGTGCTTGGATGGACGATTCTCCTCGTTCCAAAAAGCGGAGCGCATTGCAAAGGTAAAGGTGCACTTGACGGACTCACCCCATGTGCATCTGCAGAAAGTGAAGTACTTTCTTCTGATGAAGCGATCATGCGTGATATACAATTATGAGCGTCCTATATTTGAACCAGAACAAACTGACAAGCGAGCTGCTCCGGCGGTATGGAGGTGGCGGACGAGCGAATGCGTGGCAATGTCCCACGTTGACGAGAGTCTAATCAAGAAGAAAAAATGAGAGCTATAATACAGAGTGGTTGTTATACAGAAGTATATGAGAAGCTTGTTGTACATAAGAGTGTGTATGAGCCCGACTCATTGAACATGCGGTGGGCGCGCTTGCCTGCCGCATGCCAGGCGGCGCTTGATGTTATGCGCTTCCTGGCAAGGACGCAAAAGACGGGGTGAAGAGGGAGCGAAGAGACTCTCGTCTGATGATTATCGTAAGGCGTCTGAGTGAGGGGGGGCCTATTTTTGAGAAATTCATTGAGACTGAGCCCGTATTCTGACCCTTGAGTAGTTCGATCGAAATTGGGGCCTCAAACGTGTCGATCGAAATCTCAATACACAGTGAGTTTACTCAATTGGAGATCTGGAAGGTCAAATTGGACCTAGCCATTACGGTTCGGAGTTTCCCAACTTTGGATTTGTTAAAACTCATTTAAAACGTTCCTCAGGTCCTCTTGTAGATCATACCACAAAGTCAGCTGTAAAATCGTGGCACGGCTTTTTATACGCTGAAAATCCTAGAACCCTAGTACTTTCAAGTTTGGACATACTGTCGAGTTTAGAATGGTAAGGATTACCGTGCGAATTCGACTCTTGCAATTCCGCGTGCACAATTTTCTCGATTGCGTTGTATTAATGCGCGGATTTTTGCAGGTAACGTGGACACAAGGCAGTGCACTACGGGCTACTTCTCGCGAAGGCGTTCAGACGGTCGAGTGAGTTGCATTCAGAAGTTGCTGCCTTGAGGGTGGAAATATATGTCTTGCACCACTTTTTCACAAGCTACCTAGGGTGGGTACCGGCCGAGTCGATTTCGACTCGGTTCGCAACGGAATTGTGATACCGCGTACCAAATTTCGTTGCGGTCTTACTCGCGGTTCACGATACGACGACTCACATTTGTGTTACATGTACGCGATATGAGTACAAAGGATTTTCCGCTCCGTGAGTCAGTGTGATGAAATTGTTACTATGATAGTGTTCTATTTTACACTTTGAATGAAGCATAAAAGTAGTGCTCAAAGATGACGCTTATGCAGCATGTAGAAAACATTTGACAAGCATAAAAAATTGTTGGGCAGGCGTCGTTAATTAGGGGTCCTTCGAAGCTCCAAGTGGTTGTTTTGTTGAGAACAAATCTGAAAAATCTGCATACGAGGCGCAAGTTGGACGCCATTGTTGGGTCTTGAAATGCGCGTTCTCTTGCACTTCCCTTTCAAGTTCGTGCACTCTTAAGTTCCAGGCTAGGTACCGCGGTACTCTTGCGTGGTTCGAGTCGGAGGGCAGTTCCGACCGAGACCATAATTTGTGAATGTGAGACTCGGGTCTGGCGCAATGGTACAGTATTAGTGTCGCCGGAAAGTACAGGTCTCTCCAATCATCGGCCCCGTGTCAGAAAATGCTCAATTCAAGTACTCGGAAAGTAAGTCGGCGTCGAGTACATTCGTCTGTACCGCAATCAAATATTTGTCGCGGCGCGTAACACCGGTGAAACAAACTTGTGGCCGAATCGTTATGCGATTGATACCCCCGATACTCACCCTAGGCAGCTTGTGTTAGGACCGCAGCTCGGGTGGTGAAAGCGACGTCGTGGTTATGTATTTTGAAGGAGACCTTGAGATTTGGACCCCAAAACCGTCCGCTTTAGATTTATAGCGAGAACCATTAGGCAAATACGGCTCCCGAAGCATTCAATTGCTTTATAGAGGTCAAGCTTGCCATGATTGAAGTAATTATACCCTTTGCATGCACGTTCGCAGTGAGTATGCAGATCCGAATTGCGATCTGAGAAAGGACGAAAATAGACCATATGAAGACATCGGGACATATTGACCAATTTGGAGTTGGCACCTTGCAAAATCGTGACGGCGAGACAAGAGTCGCATATTGATCATCTTAAAAAGATTAAACACGGGCATTGGAACGTCCGCGAATCACTAGGTGACAACAAGCCTGGTTTTGAAACCGCCATCGCTCATAATTCGACGGTAGCTGCAGTATGATACAGAAAGAACGTGTATAGTAGCATGATTTGGAGTGCATCGATCGACGCACTAAGAGTTGACAATAGACGGCTGGTTTTCCGGATGTTATCGGGTTTGCAAGAGTTTGCCTGTCATCCGACCATCTACCTTGCAAAACAAACCCCAAGGTCAGCCTCGACACATGCAAGGAACACACGAGCAAACGAGGAACTCGACATGCAATTTTGCGAAACGGAGCAGTGAGCATTTTCATATGCACAGCTGCGGTCAGCCTCAAAAGACTGGTGCAGATTGCCAACGTCATTCAATGGTTAGGAATGTATCGAAAGGACATACCAGCTTGATGGCCAAACATTTGAATTGGCTACATCAAAAAGTCGGTCGTCGACATTAGTTTTCGGTACCTCGTCTTATTATGCATCATTTCTCTACACAATACTCGCCCATTCATGCCCAAATGTGAAGAGGTGAAAGCTCTGTACCCGGCAATTTTGGTCTACTAATGGAAGTCAACCTTTGAGAACGTCTTGCCTTCTTATAAGCCAAGAGACATTCTCCCAAACGCTACAAGGATAATCTAGGTTACTTTACATTGAAAGCTTGGAACCCGCGAGCGCAAGAAAGGGCTATGCAATGCGTCGAGTCCTACAAATAACATATTTCAAACTTTGCTCTGCAGGTTGACGAGCGACCAGTAGGCGCCGCCCTCCCCCTTGGCAATCAGCTTGTCGTGGCTGCCGGCCTCCACGATCTTGCCCTCCGCCAGCACCGCAATCTGGTCTGCGTTGCGGATGGTGGACAACCTGCACAACAACGCGCGACGCAGCTGTTTAAATAGCGCTTCGGCGCTCTCCGGCCCAACAAGCGGACGGGCAAGCTGGCAGGCGCTTGAGAAGAGGGGATGCGGGCCACAGCAGCCGGCGGCAGGTGATACTGTCGGCGTGCGCCACCTGGTGGCAGCGCGGGGCGGCGGCTCACCGGTGCGCGACCACGACTGTGGTGCGGCGCAGCATGAGGCGGTCCAGCGCGGCCTGCACCAGCTTCTCGGACTCGCTGTCCAGCGCGGAGGTGGCCTCGTCCAGCAGCAGCTGCGCCACACAGCACGGCGAGTCAGGCGGACAGACCAGGGGCGCGCATGCGTGCATGAGCTACATCCCCAGCAGGCATAGGACTCAGCAGCGGTGAAACTAAACAAAGGCTCCCACAAAGGTTACCACGAACGTTCCTTGGTGCGACTTGGCAAGCCCACGTGTCGGGCCTCTGCAGCGTGCATCAGATTTGCTCTGTGTGGCAGGCCGGACCAGCGGTGCCTGCCGCTGCTCGGAGGCCGTGCGCTACGCTGGAGAGCACTGCAGCAGCCGCAGGCGGCGCGACCACTTCCCAAGGCCGGGGGTGGCCAGCAGAGGAGGCCCCAGGGCGCCACTCACGATGCGCGGGTCCTTGAGCACCGCGCGGGCAATGGCGATGCGCTGCTTCTGGCCCCCCGACATCTGCACCCCGCGCTCGCCCACCTGCACATGCGCGCGCACGCAACTTAAAGTCTCGCATCTTGGAGCAAAGAGCAAATTCGGACGGCTGTTTCCAAATTTTCTTACATTCTTGACCGCCTATCCTTAGTTGCCCCTGAATCCTTTTCGAAGTAAGGTCTGACCCCAGCCAATCACTTTTTGAGAAGGGGCGGAAACAACTTCAGAACTGAGGGGCCAAATCATCCAATGTCCGATAGACATCCCTTTGTCAATCGCAACCTTCTGGATACGGCTTGACAGCAGCCGGCCGCCCTGTCAGGCACTGGCCCCCTTCCCGCCCCCCCCCCCCCCTCTGCCGCACCTGCGTATCGTAGCCGTCGGGCAAGCCGCTGATGAAATTGTGCGCATTGGCCGCCCGTGCCGCCTCCACAATTTCCGCCTCTGAGGCGCCCTCGCGGCCGTATGCAATGTTGGCGCGGATGCTGGTCGCAAACAGCGTCGGCTCCTGCCACGGCCACCAGCACACAGCGCGTCAGCCACAGTGCGGGACAACAGACAGCACTCGACAGCTCCGCATGTATACGGAAGCGCAGCTGTGCATCGTGGCGCTGGCTGCCCAGCGGCCCGTATACAGGAAGCCGCGCAGCTGTGGGCGGATGCCCGTTGCCCGCGCGGGCCCACCTGCGAGACGAGGCCGATCTGGCGGCGCAGTGCGCGCAGCTGGAGGGTGCGGATGTCGTGGCCGTCGATGAGGACCGCCCCGGCCTCCGGGTCGTAGAACCTGGGGCAGGCGCGCCACACACGCGGCGCGGGTCAGCGGAGGGGGCGGTGTGGAGGGCCAGGAAGCCGGGATAGGCGACGCAGGGAACGAGGCGCGCAATTGCCCACTGTGAAATTAAGCATCTGGTATTTCATTGCGAGCTCGTCCCCTGAGCTGCATCGAGCCCTCTCAAGAGGCACGGGGGAGAGGGACGGCCGCGCACCTCTCGATGAGCGACACGATGGTGCTCTTGCCGCTGCCGCTCTGGCCCACGAGCGCCACGGTGGTGCCCGCCGGCACGCGCAGGCTGAAGTCCGCAAAGACGGTCACGTCGGGGCGGCTGGGGTAGCGGAACGTGACGTGCTTCAGCTCGATGTTGCCCGTGATGCTGTCCAGCACGCGGCCGGCGGGGTCCTCCGCGTCGATGGCGGGGCGGCGGTCCAGCAGGCCGAAGACAGACTGCAGCGCGGAGCTGCCCTTGGCCACCTCGGGGGCCAGCCTGCGCGGAACCGGCCGCGCGTCAGCACAGGGCGGGCAGCGGGGCAGACAGACGGGGAGCACCTGGAGCAGCGGCAACAAGAGGGCGAAGAGGCCCAGCAAGACGAGGCAGGAGAGGCATGTCAGCGGCCAGCACGTTCGCTCTGTAGATCCACAAGGGCCACAAGCAGGCCGGCAGCCAAAGGATAGAGCGACTTACCCGAGTGCCTCTCCGATAGCAAAGGCGCTCACAATCATGACCTGCACGGCAATAGAGGGGGAGTCAGCTTTGACACGAGCTTTGAAAAGGGCCTTTCAGCTGCCCACTTGGATGCATGGCTGTGCGTCAGACGCCCGCCAGGACCGCGCGAGGGGCCGCCGGGTCACTGGCCTGGCCGTGGCGGGCCGGTGCTCACCATGAAGACCTTGAGTACCTGCCCGAACTCGCCGTGGCCCTGCCCCACCAGCTGGCCCGCGTACCTGCACCCAACACGGCAACACGGCAGTGTTAACACGCCATCTACGTCAGCGCCCCGCCAAGCAAGTCCAACAGAGGGAGTGCCCAGCATGACCGTAAGCAGGGGGCCACGAAAGCGCTGCTGCCATGCGGGACTCCCGTGCGGCACTGCGGCAGCACGGCTCACCAGAGTGCCAGGCCGAAGGACGCGAAGAGCGCGAACTGGCCCGCGCCAAAGCAGCCGCCCGCGATCTGGCCGCGGCGGAAGGCGCGTTGGAGCGGCCCCGCGAGGTGCGAGTTGAAGAGGCGCAGCACCGTGTCCTCCGCGCTGAACGCCGCCACCGTGCGCATGTTGCCCACCGCCTCGCTCGCCACCTGCGAGGACTGCTCGTAATTCTTGGCGGCGTCGATGGCGAAGCCCTTGAGCATGAGCTGCTGGCAGATGGAGGAGCCGACGATGAGCGGGTACGTGGCCAGGATGACGAAGGCGAGGCGCCAGTTGAGGACGAAGCCGATGGCAAAGCTGATGACGATCAGCGCCAGCGTCTGCGTGACCAGGCTCAGCCGGTCGCCCACCAGGCCGCGCACCACCGTCGCGTCGCTCGCCAGCCTGCACGCGCCACAGCCGAGCTCAGGCGGGACAGCCACAAGCCGCAGTCACGCGCCAGCGAGGACGAAGCGCAGGGCAGCCAAACGGAGTGCAAAGATAATGCTGGCGGCAAGCTCTTGGGCAGACGAAATACACAGGATGTTGACTCGTGTTTGCACTGGCCCGCGAGAGGGCGCTGACCTGGCGGTGATGGCGCCGCTCGAGTTCTCGTCGCGATCGAACCAGGCCACCTCCTGGCGCAGCACGGCCGCAAACATGGCCTCGCGCACGCGCCTCGTCAGGTACTCGCCCTGGACCACACGGCGCAGCGCACGGCTCCGTCAGGGCAGCCAAGCCGCGAAAGAGAGGCGCTCACTGGGCAGAGAATGAGCTGAAGCTGCCTCCGACTGGCCAGCAGGGCGGCAGAGCTCTGTGACTCTGACGCAGGCGTGCCCCTTCCCTTGAGCAGGGCGGACTGAACCACTAAGATTCAAAACGACGGATGACCAGAGCCTCTGAAAAAGTTGAAGTGAGCACAGAAATCATGAGCTGCGCTTCTATTTGGGTGAATCAGCCCAATACGCTGTCTACAATGAGCACTAAGTGGCGCCAACAACTTTTGACTGCATACGACAGTTAGGCTGCCCCACTTCGGCTTGACCCGAAGATCCGGAGTCGTCCAGACCAGAGCAGCCCCTCTGCAGGCAGGCTGCCGCTCACCATGGCCCCAAAGAAGAAGTGTTCGCACGTGTAGACGAAGACGGTGGCCACGCCGACGCCCACAAAGGCCAGGCTGTAGGTGCGCACGTCGTGGCGCAGCTGGTCGTAGTCGGTCAGGTAGTACGCCCGGATCACGGAGATGAGCAGCAGCGCAAAGATTGGGTTCACGGCCCCCGCCCCAATGGCCCCCAGCGTCCCCAGCGCGCCGTACCTGCATCACGCAGCGCTGTGTCAGTTGACGAACGTGAACGCCTGCGCAAAGATGCACGAAGATATGAGGGCAAGCCATACTTGTTCGAACGACATTTAAATTCAAGGACGATTGGGAATTCAAGGTGGGCAAGAAAGAAGAAAGTGCCGTACTTCCACTCTGGCTTGTTCAGCTTGAGCAGGCGCCAGTACGACGGTGGTGCTGTGGGCGCCTCCTCCGCCACTCCCGCTGCTGCTGCCGGCTTGTCGGGGCCGCCATCGCTGACGGCGCTCAGGCCGCTGGCCGACGGCGCGAGGCCGCTGCGCTGCAGAGACAGCTGCGGGCCGGCCAGGCGCGCCGGCGGGCGGTCGTCGTCCAGCGCAGCGCGGCGCGCCTGCAGCGCGATCAGGGACGCGTACGCGCCACCCTCGCCGCGCGCCAGCAGCTCCTCGTGCCGGCCCTGCTCCACGATGCGGCCTGCACCGCACACACCGCCACTCAGGCAGAGCTCGAGATGAGGGACGAGAAATGCGAGAAATTCATGTACAAGCGAGAAACCAGGCGGCCAGCAGGCGACGGCTCACTGCCAGGATCATCGGCTCCTCTTGCCAGCAGGAGCGGTCGTCCCGTCGAGTCAGGTCATGTCCAGGTGGGCTGGGGCCATGCTCTGGTGCATGCGGGAGAAGAGAGGTCGGCGCGCGAGGTCTCACCTGACTGGAGCACCGCAATGGAGTCGGCGTTGCGGATAGTGGACAGCCTGCAGGAACAGCAAGACAACATCAGCAAGACGCACGCCAGGACCCTTGAGAGGCAATATCGCTCTTAAGAGCTGCCCCCAACAGCTCGTTCGTCCCTGACTGGCATCCTCCATCCGGGCCTGCGGCGGGCGGGGTGGGGCACTGACCTGTGCGCGACGACGACGGTGGTGCGGCCGACCATGAGGCTGTCCAGCGCTTGCTGCACCACCTTCTCCGACTCGCTGTCCAGCGCGGAGGTGGCCTCGTCCAGCAGCAGGATGCGCGGGTTCTTGATCACCGCGCGCGCAATGGCGATGCGCTGCTTCTGCCCGCCCGACATCTGCACCCCGCGTTCGCCCACCTGCGCGCACGCGCCGCGGAGCACGCCTCAGAGGAGAGCGGGCAGAAGGACGCTGTGGGGCCGGCACCCTCGAAGCACTCTCCAGGCACGCGCAGCCAAGTCCGCAGATGGTAGCGTGCAGAAATGTTCACCGCCCTGCCGAGCGCGGTCTGCTGCCGCCACCAATCAAGGGACGACTCCCTGCAAGGCGCTTACCTGTGTCTCATAGCCACGGGGCAACGTGCTGATGAATGTGTGCGCATTCGCGGCGCGCGCCGCAGCCTCAATCTCCTCGTTGGTTGCGTCCGGCTTGCCGTACAGGATATTGCCGCGGATCGTGGTGGCGAACAAGGCCGGCTCCTGCACGCACAGGCGCATGCCGAGAGGAGGTCACGCACACGGCAGCCAGGGGCCGCTGGCCTACAATGCGGGCGCAGCAGGAACAGGAGACCGCAACTGCACCCCCCGCCAGGGCGCATGGCAAATACGGCTGGGCAACCAGAGCAGTGCACCAGATTTGGGGAATATTCTCGTAGGCTATTTTGAGCGGCTGCAACACAAAGGGTTCGAAATGCACGTTCAGCAGGTCACAGATGCACATACAGGATCTCATTTGTTGTTTTTGCTCTCGCGTTCCAGTGTCGGCCCGAACCTGCGAGACGAGGCCGAGCTGCGCGCGCAGCCAGCGCAGCTGCAGGGTGCGCAGGTCGTGGCCGTCCAGGCTGACCACGCCGCCCTGCGGGTCGTAGAACCTGCACCGCCCCCGGTAGGCCGTCAGGGGCGAACAGGCGCGCTGGGTCATGCGAGAGAACATGCAAGAGCGGCCACAAAATTCACGATCGATGTGATACACATAGACGACAGGCCGCCTTGAAAGGACACCGAAGGAAGTGCTCGAAAGCTGTCAAGCAGCGTCGCCCGCTCGTGCGCGGACCTTTCGAGCAGGCCGACGATGGTGCTCTTGCCGCTGCCGCTGGAGCCGACGAGCGCAACGGTCTGCCCCGCCGGGATGCGGATGCTGAAGTCGCGGAACACGGGCTGGTCCGGCCGCGCCTGCAGAGCACACACGCACGCAGGCGTCAGGAGTGGAGGCTCCGCATGACACAGGGAAAGTGGGTGGGGAGCAGGGGGCACTGGGACGTACGCCAGCCGAAGTGGCAAGACTGTGTCACAGCTAGGAACGCTGCGGCAGATGGGGCGCCCAGGCCGCGCGGGGGGCCTGACCGGGTAGGTGAAGTCGACGTGGTCGAGAGCGATGTCGCCCTGCACGGCCGGCAGCTGGAGGCCGCCCTCGTGGCTGGAGTCGATGGGCGGCACGCGCCGGATGGTCTCGAAGATCTTGTGCGCCGCAGCCTTGCCCTGCGCAAACGAGCGCAGGTACGGCGCCGCCTGACCCAGCCCCCTGCACAGCCAGCGCCAGTCAGCAACCGGGGGGGGGCAGGCACGCCGGGCAGGAACCGACCAGGGCCGCAGCAGACCGCGGTCTGCGTGGGCCCAACAAAAGAGCTGGCCACGGGGGGGAAGAACAAAGCCACGGCCCGGCTCGCAACTCGAAGATGAACAGCATGCTCGTGCTCGTACTTTGCAGGATCTTGACTCTCATTCAGCGAGGTTGCAGCGAGTGAAGCATAAGGGGGTGCGGGTATGGGGCGCTCACAGGCCGCCGAGGATGACGGCGAACATGGTGGTGAGCGCCTGGCCGCCGTTGGCCTTGCCGTGGGTGACGAGCACGCTGCCGTACCAGAACTGCAGCGCCCACGCGCAGAAGAGCACGCCGAAGGTGACGCCCATGCCCAGCCCCTTGGCCAGGCCCTGGCCCAGGCCCAGCCGCAGCGTGGTCGCCAGCGCACCGCTGTACTGCCGCCGCGCAGCGTCCTCGCCAGCAAACGAGTACACCTGCCGCACGACCAGGCGGAGCATCACACGGGGGGTCGTCTTCTTGCCCTTCGTGAGTCTGGCATCCAAAGAGGAGTAGGCAGAGGGAAGGGGACGCCAGACACACAGCGAGAAGGCAGGGGCAAACAGGAGAAGCAGAGGGGAGCCACACTCCGGGAAAGGGCTCCAAGATGGTGAGGCGACCAGGGCGGGAGGGGCTGCCCAAAGGCGGGGCTGGTGGTTTTGCGGGCGGCAGGGTGTGATGGGGCCCTCACCGTCCTGACGGCGCTGACCATCTGCTCGGCCACGCTGCCGGCGCCGCTGTAGGCGGCCTGGCCCTTGGCGACGAGGCCGGTGAGCACGACGGCGTATATCCCGCCCGCGGCGGCCAGCACGGGGACGATGGCCAGGATCACCAGCGAGAGCTGCCACAGCGTTGCGAAGCCCACCACGAAGCCACCCACGAATGTGCCCTGGAGCAACAAACACCAGACCAGCACAGCTCAGGAAGAGCGGGGCGCGGGCCACGGGGCCAGGTCACAACTATCTGTGGGCTTCACAAGGGTGCAGGCACAGAGAGAAATATAGCCAAGCACCGCGGTTTGCACAGCTGCTGAAAGGATGTGAGATCCGAATTCGCCTACGGGCAGGGCGGCGTGATCGAGAGTGGCTCACCATGAACTGCAGGTAAGTCCCAACCTGGGGCGAAAAAAGAGAGGGAGGTCAGGGGAAGCACAGAGGGGCTTTAGGAGGCACTCTCTCCGTACCTTACCCAACAAGGCCTTCAGGCAACTGCAGCAAGCAAATCTAGCCGAGTGTCTGGAGGGGTCACTCGAGAAGTGTGAGGCAAGTTGGCCCTCACCTTCTCGCTCATGGCTTCCTGAACCAAGATGGTATCAGAGGACACGCGACTGACGATCTCTCCAGTGCTGGTCTCCGTGTCTGCACACACAGACGAAGCGTTTACTACCCCTTCCATGACGCCTCCAACCAGAGCATCTGCTCCGAAATTAGACAACCACGGAAGGGGCTTTTCGAGATTGCCAATAAGGTCAGGAAATGCTCGGAAGCCTTGGCTGTGCCGAGCCCCCGCCCTCACCAAAGTAGCCCACGTCCTGGCGCAGGATGGCCCGCAGGTACTTGGTGCGGATGCGTGATGCCTGGCGCTCGCCTGCACAGCAAGGTACCAGATAGTCTCAAGCCTGCAGTGGAGGGGGGTCCATCCTGGGGAGAGACAGCTGGACAATGCGCACCTCAGAGACTGCATCAGCTCGATCCCAGGTGTCCCCAGGTGTCATCCAGGTCGTCTCAGAGGACTTTGGAGCACAACGGAGGACAGACTCGGTGGCTTGCTTGGATGCTTGGATCAGACATGAGCACAGTCGATGCAGAGACTTGTCTCCTCACCTGTGGTCATCCAGCAGGACACCTCTGCAAAGGAACAGCAAGGCATCAAGATGGGCATGGAGCAGCGGGAAGCGAGCGGGGGCTGGTCATTGTCAGAATCAAATCACTTGTTGTGGACAGACAGGGCGTGGGGCAGAGGAGACCAGGCAAGCACAGAGACAGAGAGAGCGGGGCAGGGAGGCAGGGGGGAAGGCAGCAGGGGCACAGACGGGGGTACTGCAAAAGGGGAGGGGCTTACGGAGCCAGCAGGCAAACAGCTCCACCAGGGCCAGGTATGCAAAGTAGCTGGCGTACTGCGGTCGCAGGACAGGCGGGATAGGATTAAGGGATGACGCTGGGAGGCACCAAGAAATGATGGCACTCATGGTGAGCTCCTCCCTCAGGGGCACAGCACAACATGGGCCACACCATCAGCAGCGCGCTTGCGCAGTCTCTACAACACAATGCCGGATCTGCAAGAGAGCAGGCAGCAGCAGGCACAGTGATTGGAGCAAGGGGCTTGCCATCTGTGGCGGGGGGCTCACCTTGGAGACCTGCCTGATGAGCTCGTCGTTATCCGGGACCGAGCCAAAGGTGTTGACCAGCTTGCCAAAGAAGAGGAAGAAGACTGCACCACCATAGGCACACAAACAGGATCAGAATTGTCACAAGGGAGGGGTACAATCAACTACAGGAGGTACTCTTCACTCTAACCTTGGCAGGAAAACGGGGCCACTCCGCCTTAGCTGCTGCATACGTAGGAGCTGCTGTCAAGCTCCAGCACCCCGCGAGTGCGAGACCAGACACTCAGTGCTCCCCGCCCCTCCCCCCTGGGCGTGCCTGGCTGCCCACCTGGCAGTGACACCCCGTTGGCGATGGCCCCCAGGGAGCCCAGCACCATGAGCAGCAAATCCAGCGAGTCTGCGTAGCGGTACAGCTCCCAGTACTTCACCATCGGCGCCTTGGCAGCCGTCTCCCCGGTCTCCCCCTCTTGCCCCGGCTTCTTCTTGCGGAACCAGCCCCCCTTGCTCTTGCTCTCTGCAGCAGGGGCGGTGGCCGCCGGCTGCTGTGGCTGGGCCTTGTGCGTGCCCAGGCCGTCCTCCAGGTGCGCCACGCCACCATTGGTGGCCGCCCCGGCACCAGCCTCCGCCACAGCCTCTACGCTGCCCAGAGGGGCCACCCCCTCCACAGACACCGCGCCTGGAACAACACCCGCCATCGCCGCCGCCTGATCACAGGAACAAGGCTACAATGCAAGCAGGCGTGAAGCAACACAAGAGCGATGCAGCTCCAGCAACGAGCTGCACAGAGGGTCCTGGACGGCCGCTCCTGCAGCCCGCACAGAGATTCCAACTTATCGGCCGCAGCCACGGCCACTGCAATGCCTGCACGCAGCGAGATCAATTGAACAGGTAACGAACTGGATGACGTGATCCCTCAGCTCAGCTTCGCATTTGAAACTCAAGGCGTTTTGTAATAATACATAACCCTTCGGTAGGATTTAACAAGGATTTAGGATTTTAGTCTATTTCAGTTAAAAATACAATTCATGCTTAATATGATACTGTCACCTGTGTTGTTCAAAGATTTAGCTGGCCGGGCGCGGCAACTCAATTGAGTCTGTACGTGTTCGCGTGCAAGTCTATGAACCGGCCTTCGACCGGTGCATACATATACCTGCCTTGCTGCCGAATACCGCCTCCTTATAACCCCTGCGAAAAGGAAGGATTAAATGCGGAGATGCCGTACTGCAGTTTGATTTCAGCACCTTCGACGGCGAAAAGTTACATATGAAACTTTATATCCTTTCGGCATACCTAAAGCTACCGGCCTGCTAAAACTAACCGTTTTCGATTATTATCGCCTCAAATATTTTCCAGCGGAATTCGGCAGGGCACATTCAAGATCATCTAGTTTTTTGCTCGCCCATATTTATATGGGGCGAGGTATAGCGGACATCCGGAGGTGAGGTCTCTCCGGCAAATTATTTCACTGTACGACTTCCCGGCACCTAGATGGTCTGAAACAGCGGTGACGTTGTACTACGTATTTGGTCAAAGTTCTGGGCTGACTGATTTATGCTGTATAAAAGCCAAGTTTGTACGGTGGAATCTTACAAATCCGCCGGAAATAATATTCTCCGGCATACAGCAAAATCCGTCTCCGACATTTTCCGGTTTAAGCGGGAATGGGCCAACCGAACATTGAGAATCACTCAGTGTTTTTGGGCCACTCAAGGTCCCCGTATATCCTCCAAACGATGGAGATTAACCGGTTTTCTCCGATACTTTCGGCGTTTTCCACGTTGTACAACAGTTTCTGTTTGGTCCGATTTTGGCCGAGTTAAGCAGTGCATTGCAATATGATGCCTGGGGTCTTGCCCTGGTCAACACCGAGATCAAGAAGGCACGAAGGCAGTCTGATTTTGAAAACCGGGGCGCCCTCCCACCCACCCAATCACAAGAATTTCATAAGATGTGACAAGGAACCCTTGTACTGTAACTAAGTTTTATAGACTTTTATTCACTTTCATAAGTTATAACATATGCTGTGTTAATATCGTACCGGGGCCCGCACGGGGATCAATATTGCCCTCCCACCCGCCCATGAATGTGGGTCGGGCCGCCCTCCCACCCCCCCTCATTGAAGCAATTCTCTTATATGAAGCTTTCTATATTGAGGCGAGCTGCAAAATCCGCCGCAGGCGGATTGTGTCGTCCTAGTTTTGCCCAACTCAGGACTTCCGACCTCCCAAACAGTGACTGTGCATGACATTGACTGGTCAAAAACGTTTGTGCCGGTTGTTGAAGTCCAAGCTGGGGACCGCGCCATGGCTGCTGTAGCGCCCTGCTCCGGCGCTGCCCAGCTGGTGCGGAGCTCCTTGTCCTCCGGGACGCCGCAGCCCCGCATTGCCGGCACCGCTGCCCGCGCTGCGCCATGTCCTCGCGCGCTCAGGTGAGCCCCATTCTCCCTGCGCCCTGCATTGTATCCGTGGTGGCGCTCCGGCGCATACGATGCAGGCTGCATGAGCCGCCTCACCAGCCAGGCGGGGCCGCCATGCCGCGTATGAGCTGCCCTCTGCATTGACTGCCATGGCGTCTGAGTGGCCCTCCTGTCCTTTGTTCGCTCATGCTGTCCTCAGCTGGCAGGGAGGCGCATCCCTGGCAATGCAATGCTGCAGCGGGCAACGAATTGGGTCCTGTGGCGAATTCTCCTGTGATGGCCGGGCCCTGGCTCGGCCCGCAGCATGGTGGAAGGTGCTATCTTGGCAGGCCCAATGTGGCCCGCCAGAGAGCTCAGCGCCCGCCGCCGTGTTGCTTGGGCCCCGCGGTATTGGTTCCTTAGCTGGCTTTAGCAGTCCTTGCAGGGTGTTGCGGAGCAGGGAGCATAAGTGCCGCGTGTGCTAAACGGCAGTGTCATTGAGGGCCAGAACTTTCTGCTGGCTGTGTGCAGGCTAGGGGGCGATCGCGGCTGGGGCGCGCAGGCTGGGCTGGGGCGCTCGACGTTTGTGGGAGGGGTGGGCAGCTTGGAGCAGCAGCGCCCGCAGACACGGCGCCAGTGCGGCCAGCGCAGCGTGGTGGCCAGTGCCACCTCTGAAGGTGAGCGCTGCGGACACAGGACCGGGCCGCCAGTGCCACGCGCAGCAGTCCCTGTCCTTGTTACCCTCCAGTTTGATGGCATGGAGCACTTTTTGTAGTAAAAGAGGCCTTGTAGATCCACTTTCTTCCCCTGAATTGCGCCACTGCATAGGGGGCACCCCCTCTTGCTGAGAGTGCCATTGCGGCGGAGTGTCGCGGGCCCTCCTTCCCCCAAGCCCCCCCCCCCACACGTCTGCCCTCCCCCCCCCATCCTGGTGCAGCGCCGCTGCTGGTGCGCGCGGCGCGGCGCGAGGCGGTGGAGCGCGCCCCGGCATGGATGATGCGGCAGGCGGGGCGCTACATGGCGGCCTACAAGGAGCTCACCAAGAAGCACCCCTCCTTCCGCGAGCGCTCCGAGACCACGGACCTGATTGTGGAGATCAGCCTGCAGCCGTGGCAGGCCTTCCGGCCGGACGGGGTCATCCTGTTCAGCGACATCCTGACGCCGCTGCCCGCGGTGGGCATCCCGTTTGACATCGATGAGACTAAGGGCCCGCTCATTGACTCGCCTATCCGCAGCAAGGAGGCCCTCGCCGCGCTACGCCCGATCGAGCTGGACCGCCTCACCTTCGTGGGGGACGCGCTCAGGACCCTACACAAGGAGGTGCGCCCCCGCCTGCCCTACTGGCCCGCCACTCTGTGTGCCCCTATTGCAGCTTCACCTGGCTGCCAATTGTGGAAGCCCTCAAACTGCCTGTCATTGTGAGGCATAGCCTGTGTCACTTGGGTAGCAAAACGCGCATCATTCAGCTTGGAGCTTTTAGCTCGTCTCTTGCACAAATATGTTGACGACAGAACCCTTTGGACAGTGCCTCTCCAAGCAAAGATGATTTCGGGCAGCCCCTGCTGCCTGGTCCGCACAGAGTGACAGCTGCGCTTGATTGTGAGGTTGTTGTGCTGTCAGTGAGCGGTGGCGGTCCGGGTGTGCTGTGTGCGCGCAGGTGGCGGGGCAGGCGGCGGTGCTCGGCTTTGTGGGCAGCCCGTGGACGCTGGCGACGTACATTGTGGAGGGGCGCAGCACGCGCACGTACAAGGTGATCAAGGCCATGACGTTCAGCGACCCGGACGTGCTGCGCCCGCTGCTGGACCACCTGGCCACCGAGATCGGCAAGTACATGTGCTACCAGATCGAGGCCGGCGCGGACTGCATCCAGATCTTCGACAGCTGGGGCGGCCAGCTGCCCCCGCGCCTCTGGGACGTCTGGTCCAAGCCGTACATCGCCAAGGTGACCCCCCGCCACGCAGCCTAACCCCTTCTCCAAAGTTTCAATGTTTGCTCAAGCTTCTGTTTGGACCATCGGGTACATCCTCTTGCGCTTTGGTGACCTCATTTGCTGATAAAAGTACAGCTTTTTCTCGCTTCGAATGCACCAGCACGGAACGTCAGAGCTTGCGGTTGGTCGAGGCGGTTTCCCATTGGTCTGGGGCGTGGGTCGCAGGCGGTGGGCATGGTGCGCGCGGCGCACCCGGAGGTGCCGCTGGTGCTGTACGCCAACGGGAGCGGCGGCCTGCTGGAGCGCATGGCCACGGTGGGGGTGGACGTCATCGGGCTGGACTGGACCATCGACATGGAGGACGGGCGGCGCCGCCTCGGGCCGCAGCTGGCGGTGCAGGGGAACGTGGACCCCGCGGTGCTCTTTGCAACGCCCGAGGCAATCACGGAAGCCATCGAGGACACGATCCGGAAGGCAGGACCGACGGGGCACATTTTGAATCTAGGGCATGGTGTCCTGGTGGGGACCCCGGAAGAGCGAGTTGCGCACTTTTTTGACACCAACCGAAGCTTAAAGTACAGCCAATGACAAACGACATATATCTGAGATGCGAGTAGGACAGGTGGCAGAGCGAGAGCTAGCCGGGTCTCCATTCTGGGCCCGTTGCCATTGAGGGCATACATTCTGGTAAACGTTATATGTCTCCAATTTCTTTGAGAGAGTTGCAAGTTGCAACAGGTATACCACTGTGCTTAATGGTAAAACTTTGTCAACGTTGAGCCAGTTGCATCCGAATGGATGGTGTATTAACTCATCATGAAGCACAAATGGGCCACGTATATGCTTGTGGCAGCAAGCGTGCCCATCACAGCAGTGCGCATTTCAGTACTACTGGACGGTCGCTGCGCCAACGCAAAGCAGCTAGCTCCTGGGGACCTGGCCTGCCATTGCCCTCGTCGAAGATACTGTTGTTCGACCTTAAACCTTTTGCTTACGATATATGCGGGGCCTATGCATGTCTGGTATGTCAGCATATGGCCATCCAATGATTGGCTCAGCGTAAGCCGCACAGTAAGAATTGGTTACGATATAGGTATGCGGGGACATGCACGATTAGCCACAAGCTCATGGCTGTTTCCAGCTCAGTGGGGAATTGGGGCTGTGAAACATAGCTTCCGCGAAAATACCCATAGTTGCATCACATGGATCCAGGCCGCCAGCCTCCTTAGCCGTTCCATGACATGCACAATTTTTGTCAACAGTTGGTAAAACACTTCCTCCAAAAGATCGCCCTGGCTGAGGCTTGTCGAATGATCCAATCGTCTAATGCTTGAGAAGAATTGCCTTTCTAAGCCTTTCATAGGAACGTCCATCCCACCAATTTACACCGATAAGACATCAGGTCTGCCGACTCGAAACTCAGTACCAAATGAACAAAGGCGCTGCATTTGCTTTCAGAGCTCGACTGCCAGTCTTGAGGCAAATCGCAAAAGCTCTTATTCCGAGTCAGCCACAGAGCAAGGGGCTCCCTCACAGAGGCAATCAGTGTGCAAACATAGATAGGGACTGGCCATGCCAGAATTGCGTTTTTGCTGATGTGAGCCTCGTTGCGGTACATGTGCAATTGCTGAAATGGCAACCAGCCCAAAAGAACCTTGCAACAACTTCAAGCAATGCGGCGATACCTTCAAGTAGTGATAGACGGGCTCTTACATTGGCAGCATCCTTTCCCACTGTCATTCCACCAAGCAAGAACACCTCCTGTCTCATCAAGAATCACGAAGTCAAGCTGGCCAGCTTATTGAGTATCACAAGTTTTTCCAAAAAAGGGTGAAAACATGCAGAACCCAAAACCCGTGATCTTAAAGGCCCACGACTAAGAGCATTGACAGGTAAAAGAAGAGATGGTCGCCGTTCTCCTAAAAGCAACCACAGCTTGATTGGACCTTCTCATCTTCATTAAGGGCTACTTGATCGAATCAAGCGGCTGATTGCACAACGAGGCTGACAGCTTCTGTGCTGTCAGCGCAATGCTGAACGACTCAGTCTTCAGAGACCCTCACTAGCCCATCAAGTCCTTATGAAAGAAGGCACAAGCCGAACCATACTGATCGAAGCAGATGGCCAAAGGCACGTGGAAAACAAACACCCAGTATCTAACCAGCCGACAGAACGCCCAGCTTCTTGAACGGCCATGATCAATGTAGACCCTCACGAATCGAATTGAACATTCAGAAGGAGCTTCCAGCTTGGAATCAGAACTCAATTACCAGAACTCGCAGCTCAGCCTGTCTACTACACATGGCAAAGCAGAAGCGATCCTTCTGACAATTCGTCAGTAGATCAGCCAATTTCTTCAAACTTGTGTATCATGACATCCCGATACAAACACCGACATTCCTCAAACAAGTGCATGGACAGAAATGGACAACAAGGGGCTCGACGTCAGGTAATTTACAGCACGGATGTCCACAACAGAGCATGTGTGCTGCGGCTATGCCTTGGAATCCTTGGCCTCCTTCTCCGCCTCTGCGGCGCGCTTCTTCCTCTTGCCCTCCAGCCGCACGTTGGTGCGCTCGATGCGCAGCTTGCCGTACGCGCGCGCCTCCTGCAGCTCCGCCGTCACCTTCACCAGCTCCAGCGGGGCAGCGCTGCGCACCGCCGGCAGCAGCGCGCCCGTCAGCTGCGTGGCCTGCGCCAGCTCCTCTGCACTCGAGTCGCCAGCCTGGAGAGGACACGCACGCGCTCAGCACACACACATGGGCCCAGCAATGTACCAAGCCGATGAGAAGCACCACGAGCAACCCCGAACTCAGTGCAAACAGGAGCGGCTAGGCCCCACACAATCCTGCCGGCCCCACTGGCACCAAGTGGCCTCCTGAGCCTCCATGATGAGGACCCAATTCTTAGGGGACGTCAATTTCCTGATGCCGGACCCGGTTTCTGGGCCTCTCTATCATCATGGTGCCTCCCTGATGTCCTCGCTCAGCCGCCAAGTGCCCGGTTGTTGCTAGGAGCGCCCCAACGCGAGGGGCCCAAAGCAGTGCCCCCTCCAGCTTAATGCCCCCTCTACTTCTGCCGCTGCAACCATTATCAGGCAAGCTGGCCATAGACAACAGGCCAGTGGCTGCCCCCCCCTCTGCTCTCCCCAGTTGGATCCAGTGGGCCAAAGCACTGGGCTTGGATAATCCAGCTATTACAGGCCATCCCGCATGACCGAGGAGCACTTGCAGCCCCCAAACTGTCAAGCAGTGGTAATGAGTGCCACTGTGACAGCAGGCCGAGCTCTTTCGCACAACTCTCTCCGTGTCGCCTCCCTGTGTTGATATCACACTGCGTCGCTGTCCCCTTGCCTCTGCTCCTGCCTGGGCGCAGCACGCTGTGCACCTGGTTCGCTCACCTTTGGCTTCTTGGACCTGCGTGGGAACACAATCAGCTTCGACTTGTACGCCTTGAGCCGCGCCACGTTCTCCTGCAGGCCCTCCAGGCTGCGGTTCTTGCGCCGGTGGTCCACAGCGATGCCGATGGTGGGGGCCAGCTTGGAGGGGATGCCCGCCTCCTGCCACACGACAGCGCGCACGCCAGTCACACACTGGAAGGGCCTGCTGCCCAACAGCAACAGTCAACAGCTGTCTGACGTCCGACTCATGCAACTTCAAGAGATAGAAACTATCCTGCCCGCAACCTCCCGCCCATGACGTCCGAAGAAGCAGAACGAGCGGTAACGGTAGTGGGAGAGGCAGAAAAGCCGTTCTGCTGAAGGGCAAGCACTGAGCTCCGAAGAGACAGACAAGCAGAACGATTGCTCCATGTGATCTGTGCCTACCTTGAGCTCCTCCAGGGTGAACCCGCGGCCTGCCCGCTGCTTGCTGTTGTACCTAACTGTTTGCGACCGCACAATTGGCCTCAAAGCACCAGCAGTTGGGCGGGGGAACACACGGACGGCCTTAGCATCACGGGCTGCAGGGGGGACGCAGCAGCAGTCAGAGCTCTGCCAAACTTGACATTGAGATCCAGTAAGAAAAGTTTGCTGACAAATTAACAGAACCAATGTAAACATGTGAGCACATCGAGGAGTCTCCAAACAGCCCCGACATCAACCCTACCTAGACGTCTTCTCTTCTTGCGGGCTGGCTGGTTGAACCATGTCTTGACGTAGGACTGCCAGTCCTTCTTGAAGTGCTGGTGGGGCACCTCATTGTTGTGCTTCACCATCTTGCCAGGACCTGCGCTGCCCGGAGCAGGACGGGAACAGCAGTCAGAAAGGGTAACGCCGACCAGAAAGCTCAAAACAAAAAGAATCAAGCTGCCAAAACGAACTGAAGGACTACTTGCACCAAATTGCAAGCGCTCCTCGCTGCCGCCATATATTCATCACAGCTGTGCCTCAGTGAACCCAATGCAGGCTGGGGGCATGTAAAGATGGACCACGACGCCAATCGTCCTGACGTTATCACATCGCACATGGCGTACCTGCGTCACACGCCCAGCGCTGCAAGCTTGGAAAGAGGACGAGTGTGGTGGCCTCCCTTCCTGTTTGAAGCAAGTGAAAGGTCGCCGGAATTAAGGTCGTCCTCGTAGGTCTTCTTGTCAAGTCACAGTCGTGTAAACAGGCTTCATTGAATGAGCATGTTGAAAGTCGAAGAGGAACTTCGATGATGTTCGGCGACAGCCACAGGGCGATAAGAGACATCGAGCAGCGCTGTGTTCCTCCTCTTTCGTCTTCTACGACTCGCGCAGGGGGTCACGTGCGCCGTCGCCATGGCTGAGGTGGGCGCCGCTCTCAGCTGCTCTCAGCATGCTTCGAGCATGGGCTACTTGCGCTTCTCGGCCGTCATCTTTCGTGTGGCACACCGCTCGCACTGGCCAGCATACTAACAGAGTGGGTTTTTGGGTGCAGTCTGTGCAGTGCTTCGGGCGCAAGAAGACGGCCGTGGCAGTGACTTATTGCAAGAGGGGTCGGGGCCTCATCAAGATCAATGGTGGGGGATGCACTCTGAACTTAGTGGATGAGCATGCCATCAGACTGTTTGCCCGCAACGTGGGGGCAGGTACAAGTGGTAATGGTCTGTGAGGCATCCTTGTATGAAAGAAGCAGGGTCCTTTTGACTGGTGAGAGGCTCCAAAACGGTGATGGGAAGAGGCATGCCCGCTGAAGTTGTTAATGGTGACACGATCGGCAACATGTGAATCAGCTGGTAGCTTTTCGTTGCAGGGACTCCCATCGAGCTGATTGAGCCAGAGATCTTGAAGTACAAGGTCTTTGAGCCAATCCTGCTGCTGGGCCGCCAAGCCTTCGCAAATGTGGACATGCGCATCAGAGTGAAGGGGGGAGGTCACACCTCACAAATCTACGGTGAGAACAAAGCTCCCTTCAATACCATAGAGGGTCTGCTGAGGAGCAGGCTATTGGTTCAAGGTTGGCTTAGGAAATGAAACGGCCCTCTGCTCCTATAGAGTATTAAGCATTGAAACAAAAAGATACACAAGTACGAGGCTGCCGGCACCGCTGTCAGTTCTTTAGCTGCCCACAAAGTTGATAGGACAGCCGTTGAGAGTCAATTATACTTTTCCCAGGCGGTGGGTTGGCAGATTGTCCAAGCGTCTGAAGCACATCAGTGGAAATTGAAAGATGTGATGTCTTAGGTTGGAATTGAGTTGGGTAAAATTGAGTCGTGGCCACGTGGTTGGGGACTTTGAAGTCCTGGGTCCAGTAGCTGCACAATTTGGAGCAGTGTATAAAGAAGGAATCTACTGGTTGCAAACTTCTAGGCTTTGGAGGCAGCACCCGCAGCGCGAGCCCACTGAAGGCCTGCTGGTCTCTGATCAGTGGTGTAAACAAATCCTGACCAGCAGTTGCAGTGGTTGGGCCTTCAAGAGCAGGGGCTCAATGCCAAGCCTATTGGTTGTGCGGCATGTGAGCAATGGCTTGTTTGCGTAGGAGATGTTTTGGTGCTAACCTTCGTGTTTCTCTCTTGGTACAGCCATTAGGCAATCCATTGCAAAGGCGCTCGTGGCGTATTACCAGAAGTGTAAGTGCCTCTCCCAATCGCCATTGTTCAGACACGCCGATTCGGTTTCTTTCAGTTGCAGATGCCCTGCATCAGCACAGGGTGGCAAACGGACCTTGCTCAAGGGAATGACTAGCTCATATCTGGCAACAAAGGGGTGGCAGGGCACAGCTTGTATGCAACATTAGAGTAGAAAAACTTGTCTGCCTCACTGCTAGCCCTTATTGCGGCCCTTTCTGCATCCTCGGATCATTGTTAAGTGTTTCAGCAGCAGAGATTCATGGCCCAACCTCTTTCGCAGTATTCGCCCTTGGCATGGTGTACCCTTTCGTTTTGAGTCCAGCGTCGCTCTTGGTTCGTGCAGATGTGGATGAGCAGTCGAAGAAGGAGATCAAGGACACGCTGGTGCGGTACGACAGGACGCTCCTGGTGGCCGACCCGCGGCGGTGCGAGCCCAAGAAGTTCGGTGGACGGGGTGCCAGAGCCCGTTTCCAGAAGTCGTACCGATAAGCGAACAGACTGCATATCTTGCAAGGACCGTGCAACAGTTCCAGCTCGGAGTTGCAATGAAGTGCACATGGTTTGTTTCGTCTTGGATTTGAGAGATGGTCGATGGTGTGTCCTGTCATGTTGCAGCAGGCATAGAGGCTTGCAGACGCGCACAATGTGACAAGCATGTGGATAGATCCGGGTAATAATTTGGGACATGCATGCGCTGCCCCCGAATGCCGTTGCTAGGTTAGTAGTTATCAAAGCCACACATCGATATAACACATATATGTGACATGATGGTCATTTCAATCTCTGTGCCCGGGCGAAATGTATCATGTATGCACAAGCTGGATGTTGCCCGCGTAGGTCACATCTTGGTCATTCTGGCAATTTTGCGCCCTGCCAAATATAATCACATGATGCATGGTGGCTGATAACGTAGATGACTGTCGATTCATCCTCACCCGGACTACATTTGTCGCAGTCAAAGGGAATCAATCAAATACAAAGTTGTTGTCGCTAATTGAATACATTAGTATGTACACCATCGTCAAGCCGAGTTCTCCACCTTGACAAGCAAACTGGGGACTATAATATGCTTCGCACATGCTTCGGAAGAGCCGCAAGATTCTTACTCATGCTCCTTTTACGAGCCTCCCTACCAGCTCGGACCAAATCCTTTCCTGAAATCTGCAATGTGTTGATTCCCTACCATGGTCGCGAACCTCCTCTTCCGAATTGGCGGTGCGGCATGACCGTGGCACGCGCGATCACTGTGTTGGAGGCACCGCCAGCGGCTGCCCCGGCTGTGGCGTCAACACTGTGAACTCCGGACTCGCAATTTTCTGCAGAGCGTGTCCAAACAGCCGTTTCTACAAGCTGAGCACGAAATTCTCAGCCAAGATGTTGTCGAGTCCCAGGCCAAATGCAACAGAAAGCGCAGGCTCGAGCATGCCACCTCGACTTGGACTCCCTGTCGATGCGGCGCAGTGTGAGCGTGGCCGGACGTAGGCAAGACACGTCGATGACAGCGCAGCGACTGCTCTGCGCCCCCGCGCTTGCCGTCGTCCTGCAGCGGGGGTGTCCCGCGAGGGCGCCTCACCTGGAAGGCCTCGGGGCCGCTGCCCGTCTTCACGATGGCACTCAGGAGCCCCGTCGCCTCCAGGTCCCCGTTGAGCATGGGCACGATGTACCTGAAGCAACGCGCGCCAGTCAGTGGCTGCACCAACAGGGGCGCACACCAGCAGGAGTGCCAAGGCTGCGCCACAACCTGCGGCTCACACTAGCTGCTGCAATTGACAAGTGGAGGGACATTTCTTGCTGAGAAGGAATCGGGGATGCGCCCCGCGACCAGCGATTGAACCCCCTTCTCCGTTGACCTGCGATCGTGATGCGGGTGGGGGCACTCACGTGGCCTTGAGCTGGCGCGCCAACTCCACGGCGCGCTCCTCGCCCGCCACCAGGCTGTAGCCCAAGATGTTCTGGGACACCGACGGTGTGATCACGCAGTCCACCTGCAGGGGGGGCCACGGAACAGCGTCAGAGCGCCACCCAGCGACGGCCATTCCGCCGCACAGATGCACGCAGTCCTTCTTGGATTCAATCGCTTGACAGCCCTACTGGATACAACCACTTGACATTCGATGCATATCCACAACTGGTGTGGCAAAGAAGCAGGAAGGGGAAGACTTGTATGAGCATACCTGCTCGTCTTTGCTGATGTCGTCAAACTTGCAGTGTGGTTCGTAGTAAAGAGAGAAGTCGGGCCCTTTGGTGGAGACGACGTAGCCGTTCTCGCGCGCCTGCCAGGGGGGCCCCACGCGGTCCCCCGGGGTGGCGCGCACCGTGATGGACGACCCATCCGCGCCTGAGACAGACGTCGTCTGATCGTGCGCGAGCACAACCAGCTGCAATCTCAGAATAAGGGGGGCAGGGTTAGCAAGAAGTGTACTGAAAGGCGTACTCCAAACATGCGGCAGCGGGGCAGGAGCAGCATGGAGCAGGCCCCAACAGCAAGCGCACCCCCACCCGGCCATTGCTCACTACCAGCAAGGGAGGGCACCAGCCCCGTGGGGAGGGGGTGAGGGCAGTGAGCAAGCAACCCTTGTATAGACAGGCACCAGCATGGGTGAGGCAGGGAGCACGCATCCAGGGGCGCCCCGCTCAGGCCTGCCCTGCATCCACGCGGCAGGACTGCAAAGACGCCCACAATTGTGGCCTGGAAACTCGACTCCTGCCCATCTCACGTTTTTGAAGAGGGGCTCCAGCTTGCTTTGTGCGCTGGGGGGTGCAATGACAAGCAGGGTGGGGCGCGCGCGGGCAACCTCGCGTAGCGTCTTCATGTGGCAGTGGTCCTCCAGGGACTGCGTGATGAGCACCGCGTCCAGGGGGGGCAGCCCCGCCACCTGCAGACACCCAGGGGGGAAAAGCAGGGTCATGCAACAAAGGGACCAAGCGGGCCTGCAATCGTGTCTGCGGGCCACTTTGCAATACTTCCCAGAAAGTACCCACCCTTGAAAACAGCGCAAACTACCACTTCTCATGCCGCATTGAATTGCTGTTGAGGCCATCGGTGACAACCACTTCCTTGAAGACTTGCTGCCAGCCAAACTCTGATGCCCTCCCCTGCCCCCTCGTTCTGCCTGCCCTGCCCACTGAGCTGGTGCTAGCAATCACTGCAGGCCCATACTGTGATCCCCACAACCGGCTGGCGCTGGCTGCTCACTGTGAGGTCTTTGGTGGCGCGCTTCTTGGCAGAGTAGAAGAGCGGGATGTTGAAGTCCAGCTCCGCCAGCAGCCAGGGGTCGACCAGCAGCCGCACGCCCGCCACCTCCCAGATCCACCCGTTGTTCTCCAGCCACGTCAGCTGGGCCAGCCCCGCGGGCACCGCCTTCGCAGGCGCAGCCGACTCAACAGCATGCGCAGGCAAAGCAGCAGGCCTCTGCCTGCAAAGGGAGCAGACAGCGTGGGCCGTGTCACTGCCAACCAGGGCAGCGCAGCAAGCCAAGTGCGGGAACAACTGCTCAGCATTCAAAAGTTGGAGGGGAACCTGCAGGGGCAGTGCTAGGAACAGAAGCCAGCGACTTTCCCAGTCACTGTGCTGATGAAGCAGAATGGCCCTCACCTGTCCCCCAGCATTGCACCTGGTGGGCTGGTCTTGGCTGTGCCTCCAAGCACCCCACCTGCTACCCTCAACAGGCTGCTCATGCGGAGGGTGGGTGACTCAAGGCCCCAGCTGGCTCGCGGGTGCGCCGCCGCAGGATCCAAGACGGCCTGCAAGCGGTGGTGGTCAGAGCGGGGCCTCTCAGATGTTGCTGTTGATGCGCCCAGACCGCTCGTGATGCGGGCATGCAGCAATGCTGTGGCGGCATTGGCCATGGCAGGCGGCGTCCACCTTGGAACTCCGCAACACGAGCTTCAGCCTTAATAGTAGGTACCCTGGGCCTAGGGGTCGGACAGTTGATCAGAGCACAGGGATGCAGCTCTAGCCTCTAGTAGGCTAGTAGGTAGTAGAGGTACATAGTAGCTTCCTCTTTGGCAGAGCAGCTTGAAGTTGCGGTGAGCGTGGACTCGGGCTGAGGAGGCTTGCTTGTGGTAACGTGGTATCTCGAAGACCGTCGATCGAACATTCTTCACAAATCCGACGACTAAGCTGCAAGACTAGACGATCGCGCGAGCTCCATTTGTGTGCCGGTTTGCCAAGCATCAATTGGCAAGAGGCCGGCCTCGATACCGTAGTGAAGTTGACTGCATGAAAGTGTAGAAAGTTGTGCACGGCGGTGTCTTGCCCCTAACTTTTAAAGAATAGGGCTGCAGGGGCTGTGTGTGTGGCGTCTTCCAGGGCTGTCTTACTATTAGCGTTCGTTGCAGCGCCACTCGCAGAATCTGATCAAATTCGCATCAATGGAGGCCGCCTACATGACGACAGCGTGCGTGCCCCTGTGTGTGCCCCAGATTACTCTTAGAGGTGCTCAGCAGTCTCGCGGTCCAGCTGGAAGGACGTGGTACCTGTTGTTTGCGCTAGGGCAGCCATCGCAAGTGGCACGCCAGAAGAATCACGGCGGCCAGCATTGCTGTTCTCAAGGACGAACAGCAGCTCGTTCAGAGGCGGTTGTTGCTGCCAGTTTTGCGCCGCAATCAAGGCCTGAGACCGCTTATTCGACACAAGGAGAATGCCGTCTTTGGAGACAGCTGGTGGTGCTGCAGGACAGGAGTACCAGAGGTGAACATTGTGGGTGGCCGGGCACACGAAGTGCCCACACCATTCGGGAAAGTGTTTTTCAAGCAATGGGCAACACGCAAGATGGTGGGGACCTCACAGACCTGCTGACCCCGCGAAGGCTGCCAGGAGGCGAGGCGGCACAGGGAGACGAGAGAGGCAGAAAGTCAGAGAGAGCGTGTAAGCGGTGCCAAGGTAGGGCTGCCAAGAGCTGCCCAATTGTCCGCACTGCTTGCCCAGTCTCATAGAAAGGGTGCCCATTGTTGCACGCACTTGCTGAAGGCCACCGCTTGCTGTGTTGTCAGCCACTGCTTGCTGTCCCTGGTTGATTGTTGACATTCTGCCCGCTCCAGATTGCTGAGGTATGGCTGGCACTTTCTTTCTGGCGTGGCCTACAACCATTCCTCCTGCATCGCACAGGAACGCACCTGATCACCTGCGCAAAGTGTAACGGCAGGGGCAGGCTGTCCCCCCGGGGGGGCTATCACAAAAAGAACCCAGTGTCCATGGAGAAGATCGAAGGTGAGACGAGTGTTGGGTATGCTGGACCGATGACGTTTTCTTATGTAAGGAGGACCTGTGAAGCTATTTTCAAATTATGATTGTTTCAGTTTCCTCCTGCAATTGGGCTCACTTTGAACTCCGCTTAGTCTCCTGGCCGGCACCCTTGGCGCGCTTGATTCCGAGTGCCAGGGCAATGAACGAACCCCAATTTCAGCTCAGTCCTTCATTTGGACCCCAGTCCGGCCTCTATGCTTCAGTTGGACCCTAATCGCACCTGACCAAGCTGTGGCCTCTTAGCGAAGCGAGGGCAGGAGGGGACAGCGTAACACAAACAAATTAACGATGGCAGCACTGTGTCCAAGGGCCACTACCCGTTCGCTCAGATGAACAGTGGGTGGGCTGTGGTATGATACTTGAGTGGTCGTCATCACGCGAGTGCCTCGCTGGCTCTCGCAGCGGCCCTGCTCAACGCTGGAAGAATAACAGGCTGTGACGGTTTTAATTGTCTGCTTATGATACGGACGTCAGGATGCCAGATCGGTGGAACCCATGCCTGGAGCTTGGCTGCCAGTTGGTCTCAGTGCGTGCCGCGTGGCTGTCCTGCTTCAGGGTCGCAGTGGACCGCCATGGAGCGCACCCTGGGCTGGCGCCACTTCCGTGTGGCGGGCAAGCGGCGCGGCCCGGAGGCAGCGGCAGCGGGCGGGAGCGCGGCGTGGCTGGTAGAGATGGTGGCCACGTGCGACCCCTCCGCGCGGCTCTGGATCAATGCGCAGGTACGCTGCGGGATGGCTGGGCCGCAGGGACCTGAGGGGGAGGCACCCATTGCAAGGCTGCCTGTCTCCTGCTAGTCGACTTGTCAAAATGTCAGGCCTACTGCCGTTTCCCTTTTGCATAACGGCGTGGCCTGGGTTCTTGCGCAGTCCTGGCCGGCTTGCGCTTGCTCTTCTTTGCTGGTTAGAAGGCTGCCTGAATCTTGCAGAGCTCGCAACCAACGTTCAAGTATCGACTGTCATCATGTAAGCATTTCGGCTCTCCGCCCATGCAGCGCCAGGCTCGTTGGTTGCAAAAAAATCCAATGCTTGACCCCGACTGCCTCGAGGCTCTCTTTGATGAAGCCATGATTGTGGTTGCAGAATTTGAGGGACCGGGAACACTGGAGCATGGGCTGGCTGCAGAAAGCAGAGCTGGCCGCAAGAACGGATGAAGACTCGGAAGCAGGGAAAGTTTGTAAAGCATGCCACGGAAGTAAAAGTGTGGCATGCCCGGCCTGTATAGCTTCTCGGAAGAAACTCGAACGGAAAGAGAAAGCATCAAATACTAGGAACACCGACCTGCTTATTGGACGTGAAACGAAACTCGATACATCTAAAGCGCACGAAACGTGAGCTTTTATGCTTGGAGTTGTATGCATAGCTGGTTACTGGTTAATGGTTTTATACTGAAGCTTGCTGCAGTGCACATGTAGGAAGAGCTGCAAACGAATATTTACAGATTCGCATCCTGAAAGATCAGTACGTATTGCGTTCTCGCGTTTAAGAATCTTTTACGCGCGCAATCCACATGTAAACTCAGTGTACCGGTACATCCGGAGCGTGCGGCAGCTTATGGTAGTGCTGCCGCCAAGCTATGTTCGTAAGTTCAGGTTGCACATTGATCTAGCGGTATATAAATCGACACGGGTAATTCTCGCATCCTCAAACTTGCAACCGAAAAGTTCGTGCTTGTAGAAAAACTGGCCTTTGGAGCAAGCTGGCACATGCACGAGCGCCCAAGATGCACATGAACGACGACACCACGTATTGAAGCGACAATTCGAAGACAAGCATGATGGCCAACATTTCAAGCTCACCAGGGGTGGCATTGCCTTGAATGGCCGGCCTAGATATATGTGGCAGCCCGAGCAGCTAAAGCATTGCATGCATGAGCAATAGACTCAGCGATGTACCTTTCTCGTTGCAAAAGCAGTGGACAGCCTTTTCCAGGTAGCAGCACCAGCCAAGCCAAATGCTTGTGAAAATGTTATCTACATCAGCATCAGCAGCCTTGTAGCCTTGCCGTGACTGGGGCCCACTGCCGCCATAGCGATGGATATGAACGGTGAAGGCGCAGATCGCTTGGTTGATGTAGTTTTCAACCGGATTACACAAAGTCGAGCAGCACTCATACCAACTCAGCGCAGCGACCCGTACACCACATTCGAGGGCTGCTGCTCCTCATATGACTCATCAAAGACATCAAAGAAGGTCGACAATCTCCCTCCTCGCCAAAACGACCAACCAAACGAAAACTCGAGCCAAGAAACCGCAGGCATGTCTCGTGGCCAGGGCACCGAGGTTACCGTTCTGCCACCCGCGCCTTCGAACTTGCTTCCACGAATGCCTGCACCAGGAGGCAAACACGTAAGTCAGGCTGCAGTCGACGAATGGGTGTCGCTCACAGAGGGAGCCTCCCGGGAGAGAAAGGCCCGGCCAACAGATGCTGCAGAGACCTGGCAGGGGGGCCTGCAACCGCGATCTCGAAAAGCTGCTGCAGCGTGGCAGGTCGGGCCCCCACCTGCTGCGCTTCGCGGGAGCACTGGGTGAAGGCCCGCACGACATCGGCACACTGGAGGGGGTCCTGCACGCACGCGGGGCGCTCGCAGAGTCAGGGCGACCGGGGCCAGGGCAGTGCAGCAGCGGGAGAAGAGGCAAGGGGCAAGCCACGAGAATGGGCCTACACAAGGGCGAGCCTGCCAGTCAGGTGCTCTTATGAAAAGGTGCATGCCTGGAAGCGTCCCTAGCAGGGGCAGCACGGCAGGGACGGGCCACCCTAGGGGCGCAGGAGCTGCAGGCGAACAGCACGCACCTGCTGGTGAACGGAGTAGCAGCGCAGGCAGGCGTCACGGTGGGCAGCGCATGGAGGCGGCCGCGAGGGCGCCCTGCAAGCACAGCCAGGCAACAAGGTCGGCGGCGCCGCTGGAACGTACACGGAGTCGACTAGAATGACCAGAGCCAATCGGCAACCGCATGACTGCCGCTTGAGGTGGCCCGTTCCAGGTGAGAGGTGAGTACTTCTTAGCCACGAGACGCTTCAACTGAGAGACCACTAGACAAGCAGCGAGTTAGGGGGAACTAATGTGGACGCCAAATTGACGCAGAAGAGGTCACGTCAACAATTCTGATGCCATCGATTCCTTGGTGAGCATGCTCAGACATCCAAATCCAGGTTGGTGAACCTGGCTACCACCTGATTGAGAAGGGCCAACACGTCAGCAGGGCTACCCCAGAGTAAAGGGCTAGAGTCGCGCCACCCAGCGTGCCAGCCACAGCACCCTTGACATGGTGAGACCCAGGCGCGCCGCCTCGCGCGCGGCCTGCCATCTCACCTGTACTCTTGGTCGTGCAGGCGGTGCGCCAGCACGCGCACCTGGCTCAGCTCCTCCTCCTCGCGCTTCAGCAGCAGCGCACCCACGTGCTCCTGCACGCACGCCGCCAAGGGAGGCACGCTCAGGAGGGGTGCTCACCAGGGGGACACGGACATGCGCCAAAGAAGATACGCGAGGCCCACATGCTGCGTAATCTCAACCCCCAAAATATGGGCAGCCGACAGAGGTCCCCCCTGGAGGCTGTGGTCAGTGTCCTTGTTGCATCATCTTTGTCCCTTCAGTCCTGACAAATCGCCCCGGGGCTACGCTGCGCAAAATCCTCACGCTCTCTGCCAGTGCCCTCTTGATGGGCGCCAGGTCCGCGGGCAGCGGCTCCTCTGCTGCTTCATGCCGCCCCGCCCCTCCGCCCGGCCTTGCAAAGTGCAAAAATCCTGGAATGCCTGGGGGCATGCTGCCGGGCATGCCCCGGGGGTGGCCAGGCGGGGATGGCCTAGCTTGATTCCAGTGCGTGAGCGCACTGGTGCCGCCGCCGCTGGGGCCGGCGGAGTCTGTTGGTGGGGCCCGCTGTGCTGCGGCCTGGTCTGCCTCCTGGCGCTGCTGGCGCTCGTACTGGCGGCGACGCTCCTCCACGCGCTCACGCCCGGCAGGGGTGTCCCGCGCTAACTTCTCAAGCAGAGTGGTCGAGAACTAAGGAGAAGGGGCGGGGAGGCACTCAGAATACGTCATCAAGTTTAGCAAATAGATGCACACCAGTCCTTCAGAAGCACCTAACCACCAAGATCAAGAGGAATTGGGAATCACGCAGAGGAGCTGTTGATTGATACATAGCTGCCAATAGCGAACAGCAAACGGAAAATCAACCACGAGTAAGTAAGCGATGTGTATGACTTCATGTTTCCAACGTTGTGATTGAATGCTCACCACAACATTGAACTTGGTTTCAGTTTCCGCCATGGAAACGGGAAAAGACCGCAGCGCAACCACGGAGGTTGATCACATTCACAGATGTTGTCAAGAGCGTGAAAGAACTTTTTGACCGGACCAACTCTTGGAGAAGCGAGCGCCTGAGTTCGTAGCAGTTCGAATATCTTAGCAGCGGTGAAAGTGAAAGACATTCAATTTCAATGCTTTCTGCTGGCAGATCTCCTCAATTGTACAAGGGGCTACTAGGCTGCGCCGTATGTGCGAGCGCGACCGGAGGTGTCCCGACTGCCGACTAACCGGGGGGCGTATGTCGCGCCGTCGTGAGGGAGAACGGCAGAACAGGGCTGCCGTCTCTGGAGTCTCTAGGACTGTTGTCACCCC